CTGCAAGAACAGTTGACCTTTATAGAGGATGAGGAAATCCCTGCAATGCATGAAGCAATCTACACAAAGTATACAATGCTCAAGTATGCAATATTCACTAATTTTAATATGGTATCCTATATTTCTGGACTCAGTGTCTCATGAATTATTGGGTTTTAACTCTTTATCTATGTGATTATCCAGAAAATTTCAAAATGCAATGCATATGATGGCTGTGGCAGAACTGGCGGTATTGACACCCACCTTTATTTGTTTTTAGTAGTTAGTTTTACTTTAAAATCTTGTGATAATCAGGTATTTTAATTTTCAGATTCTTATAAACGTCGACAATTCAATAGGTAACTACTGGCTCCGATTGTTGGTTCGAGAATGGGCACAGTTTTGTATACTCTCTTACATTGGGTAAGTGAAAATTTCTGCCAGTTTTCGGGTTTATTTTAGTAGAAAGAATTCCTTATCAAGTTGTAATCTGAGAATATCATTAATATTTTATTTACCTCAGGTGGACCTTCAGGTCAAAAGACTTAGCACCACGCTTTTCTGTTATGCCTGTAATAAAGTCTCTCGGGGAGAGAATGGTACCTCCTATTTATAGCATTGTAAGTGTCCTTTGATACCATAATTCTAATTGCCTTGCTTAGAGTTGGCTGATCTTGGTGAATATTGTCTATCTTTTGTCTAAGGTTTGATATTAGCAAAAAAAAAAAGTGGAAGTGGAATGAGATGATCATCATCTCCTTGTTTGACAAGAGCAAGGGAGATAAAAGAGAAACTTGATCCGTACATAATGATTTCTAAATAGTCAGATATGATAAAGAAGAAACTTTTAAACGTTGTCCTTTCTCTTTCAATTTCTCGCGCCTTCTCCCCACGCATTTGGAAGACCTTAGCCAGATCTTTATTCGAAACTTTACCCCTAACAACTACCACCAGCAAGGAATAGCTACATATAGAATAAACATGTGTTCCCTTAGTCCCCTCTCCAATTTTTCATATAAATTCTTATTTGTAATTCAGTGCAGCCTCTCCTGAACATTTAACATTTTGTAGTTTCCATAGCTGCTTGTAATTGACTATTTTGATTTTAATTAGCAGCATCATGAATTAAAGAAACTTTAAGGTAGGCATATGGTTTGTATTGGAGCTGGATTCAGGAGTATAACTCATAATATCTACTTGTACATATACTGCTTGAATGAATCCCCAAACCTCTAATCTTCAGTTGTGATACTGCAGGAAATGGATGCAGCTACTTTTAAGGACTTCAGTACTCATGGATGGCATATAGGCGTGGTGAGTATTCATTCATGAGATTTGTTCTCAAGTTTCCCCCCATCTCTCATCATTTTCATAACTTCTTCTTGGTGTTATTGTATTAACTAACTGCCAATTAGAACTTGATTCAAGTTTCTACAATTTCGACTAGCCAATTTGTTTCCTACACATGTTTCTTGGCAGAATGGTTTATAATCTTCATATTGTTCACTATTATTTTTGTTCAACGGATGATATTTGGTATCTGAACTGAAATTGAATTCTAATCTTGCAGCCAACTTCACCCAAGAAAGGAACTTTAAAGAATTCAGTTTTAGTGGTAGTTCAACACCCCCATGTGTGTAGATTGACACCACCTGACACTCATTCTCAGACTGTAGCTTAGTTACTTTTGCTGCAGATGTATATTATTCATTTGTTACCAATCATAACAGAAGCCAGGTTCAGGACATCCTGCAGATCAAGCATCCATCTACTTATAGGAAAAGAGGATTATAACCAGTATTTTCTGTAAATCTTTGTACACATCTCTACTGAGGAAACCTCAGAGGTTTCGGCTGTAAACTGTATATTGCTCCCTCGATATTGTCTGCTTCAGGTGTCCATATTTCAATGGTACAAAACTCACTTTGCTACAAATACACAGTGACGGTGTTCCTCTAGTTTGTAGCTTAATAGTTCCTTATTTTCACTGCTGATATTGTAGTTTCTATGAACAAAAAAAATTAAAAAAATTGTCTGATTCAAATACTGAATATTCCACGAGGATGTATTCCCAATGATTAGAACATCAGGCAAGATTCTGCAGTGGACGTTGGAAACATCTTACTGCAAGAGCATGTTTAATGTCTTTGGAAGATTTGAAATTTCTTTTCTTTAAGATAAAAGTTAAGGAGTACTTATTTTGTAAAAAAAATTCAAACAAACAAAACATAACAGAACTCGCAGAGACTATCTTTGGAAAAAAAAACAAACGAATGACACCTGGTGTTCCTTTATTTCTTTCTTTTTATGAGGGTGCTAGATGGAAATTTTTTATTATGGATGAGGTACGACTAATACTAGTTGTATGAGGAATTATTATAAGCTTAACGCATAAGTAGACCCTTGAACTTGTACGCTTTTTCCATTTAGACACCTCAATAAAACCATCTTCCTATTGAACACCTAATGTATACTCAAAGTGTGTCTATCAGACACTTCATGGGCATTGCCCGAAAAATGCAAGTTGCGTGTCTTTCAAACGCCTATAACATGAATAAAGAGTGAATCATAATTTGACATGTGGCAAATTAAGAAAAATATCTTTTACAATTTTTTTTTGTCAGACCCAGCCACCCCCTCCGCATCATCTTCTTTGAAGCCCCTCCCCACTGCCAACTTAAATTCCACCATTAATACTTTTATGAACTCTCTATTTGTTCTTTTAATTTTTATTATATAAATATTTCATAATCTCTCCTCCCCTTTCCTCCCAAACAATATTCACTAACTTGTATAGCTCAATCCTTTCTTTCCCCCAAAAGTTATCGATTGTTTCCATAATTCTACCACTAACAACATCTTCTCTTCTTCTTCCTCTCTATTTTATCATTAACAAATATGATCAAAACTTGAAATTACCAAGAAATCAAATAGTACAACTCCGTATTTAGTTATTTTTTGCTACTTGTTCATGGGTTTTGCTTAATCATGTACTTTTTTTAAAAATTCAACCATGGGGATTAATGTTGCTTTAATTATACCATTTTAATTTAACTTATTTTTTACTGAATTTAACAAAAAAAGTGAAGGAAGAGGACATTTTCAAGTGGTGAATGAGAGGTGATTATGACAGTGTTGGGGGCAATGGAGGAGAAGCGTTAAGAGGAGAAAAAATAGGGATGAAGAGAGATATTAGAGACCTCTCATGCGCTTTTAATGAGTGCACTACATTTACTATGAGATCAGCAATGTATGTCTAATAGACACACTTTGAATACATTGGGTTTTTAATAGGAAAAAGGTCTTCGATGTCTAAATGGAAAAAGCGTGCAAGTTCAAAGGATCTGCTTATGTGTTAAGCCATTATTATATTAACATTATATTCTGACTCATGGGCCATACTTTATTTTCCTTCTTCCCTTTTGTTTCTCTTTTTTACTCTTCTTCTCTTTCTTCATTTCTCTCGTTTTGTATTTTTTTTTTTAATTTAATTTAATTTTAAAATCAGTTCAACTTCTCCTTCAGTTTATACGAATGAAAATAATTATTATTCTTATACTTATTTGTTTTATAGAATATATTTTTCAAATTATAATTTTCAGTATTATATAATTAAGGTCCCTATACTTAAAGGCTATGAACATAAAAAAATTTAAGTTAATTATTTGAATGGTCACTTATGTCATTAAAATCGCCCACTAAAATTATTTTATTTCTTTTTCTCTCATTTTTCATTTATTATACTTTAAAAAATTCCGTCTTCATATTTCGTGTCTTTTTTAACTTCTATTTTTAGCACCCATTTAAGCATAAAAAATTACTTATAAAATAATTTTTCACTTTATTTAAAAATTGATTTTTGACAATGAAAATTTAAAACACAACCTTTTCTTTTTGAAGGTATATTTTAAATTTGGAAAACATGTTCGTATAATGTGTTTTTCAACTCACTTTCACTTTTGAAATTGTATTTATATATAATATGAACATTATTTTGAATATTTTTTTTGCAAAAATAAAACATAACTCTATTTTCAACTCTAAGGCATATATTTCAATACAGTTAAAAAATATATGAATTATATAGTCAAACACCTAATAATAATCATAACCATGCTTTCAATATTTAATGTGTAATTTAGTAACAAGTGTTTGATATATACACATAACTCTAGTTTTATTAATAATATTTTTGAAATTCAAAATTTAATTATTAATATTTTAGGTAGTTATTTAATGATAAAAATAACAATTTTAAAAGTATTTTCTATTAAAAAAATTACTTTAATTTATATTTTGGAAAGAACAAAAAATAGAAAAAGAAGGAAAGTGAAAAGTAAGAAAGAGAAACAATGCCAAAATAGAAAATAAAAATGGGTCCCGCACAGGTCAAAATATAATATTAATAAAATAATCGTCTCATATAACTAGTACTAGTTGTGCCTTATATATGATAAAAAATTTCGTGCTGGATGGGGGAAATCGCGGGATTAGTTATTTCATAGAGAAGATGAGATAATTCATTTTATCTGATATTCTTATTTATCCCATTCCACAACCAAAAGATCCCAAGAATCTTTGAAGGACTGTAAGTTACTTATAAGACTTAATTACCATTAAACCATGTAAAACGAAAAAAAAGGAGAAACTATCTAATTACACAAATATTTCTATTATATTTATTATTTTTTTCTATAGTTTGAAATAATTACATTTTATCTCACTAATTAATAATTTCATACCACATTATATGTCATATACATCTAGATACATGTGTTTAGCTACCATATACACTGAAATAGGGAAAGAGACGAGCGAGAACAGAAGGAAGGCAAACAAAATTTGTACATGTATCTTAGATACCTATGAATCACACAAAATATATATATCTAGAACAAATTAAATATAATTTTGACCCTATATATTTTAAAAATACATGTATTTGAACGTATATGAATTTGTTTCTGAGTCCGAGGAAAAACCCCTATAAAAACGAGCACATCTTGTATTCAGAGGGTTGGGCCTCCGATCGAAGCCCAATTAAGAACTGCTTCTTTGCCTCGTTGGTTTTAGAAGTCCTGCCTGTAATGCTTCTCTGCTCCGTCGTTATCAGACTTCCGGGCGAAATCACGACGACTACTGTAAGATACAACAAATCAACATCTCCGGAATGAGTGCAGGTAAATTTACCCTCTTGATTCCCACCAGTTATATGCGAATTTCTCACGATTATGTAGTTCTCAGTGAAAATATATCTTAAATAAGCACAGATTTAGCTTAAACTGAGTCAGTAAGAAGTTTAGTTGTATTCTGTTTCAATTTTGCTTGTGTTCTTCATATGTCCTTTTTATTCGCTAATATTATGGGTAAATTTGATTTATATAACTTATCGGTAAATGTTGAGTTTAGGGGGACTTTATGTATTTTCTGTTAACATTTTGAGTTAGTTATATACTGAAACATCAACCTTTGAACAGTACAAACAATTTATCAAAGGTAATCAATTACTCAGTATGAGTATCTATTAAATTGCCAATTAGTTAAGGAAAGAGCAAAATATATTTTTCTGAAAGTAAATTGCTATGAGTTTCAGCATCATATTTTATTATTTTCAGGTGAAAAGCATGTTATCCCTTTGGTTGGATGGTGCATGTTACCTCAATGTGGTCTTGATATGACTATGAACCGTTTTGGAACCAATTCTAAAGAAAAGTTGCATAAGTTGATCTCTGAAGTTTATATGATATTCAGTTTCTTACTAACAAACATATATAATATGGCATACATTAAATAATTTCTCTTTTCCTTTTTTCTTCCATTGTCATTTGCAATATTGTGGCCTAGCGGTTAATGAAGTTGGAATTGATCATGGAAGACTAGGGTTCATCTGAGTAGAAACAAAAAAATTAGGTACTTTCTCTCCATTTGTGGAAGCCAGTAGAGAGTTGCCTGGAATGTGTGTGGTGGGAGGTAAGTTACCTAGTGGATTAGTCACAGTGTGTGCAAAATGGTCCAAACACCATCTTTATAGAGTCAATCCCATGGAGCTTTTATTTTTAAAATCACTCTGGTAATTGATCCTTTGTCCTCACTGTGAAACTTCCGAGTTTTCAATTATTAATTAAGGAAAGTTTGCCAAGAGGATGAAATTTTCATAGGAAATTGAAATTGACACAACAGATTTTTTTTTTCCTTTTTTGGAAAGCAAAAGGTATTTCAATGCCTTATCATGATGAAAGACACAATGCAAAGCCATTTTTGATTTTTCAAGACATTCTGGAAGGACAAACTTAAATAAGCCATTCAAACTAATCAAGTGGTAGTATAAAATCATTTTTTTTTCATTTCTTTTAGAAGCACAAGGGATTGCGCATATTTCAAAGCCACGGTTGATGCGCAGCAACCTAAACCAGAGGGAGAGTCTTTGTAGTCCTATTTGTATGTGTTTCCTTATTCTTTACTCTTGTGTTTCAAATATTTATTTCAATTCTTTGAAGGGGGAGCATTTGGTGGAAATAGAGGACTGAGACCGGTTCCACCAGAGAAAGGAGTTTTCCCATTGGATCACATGCATTTATGTGACCTGGTAGAGTCCTTTCAAAATTCTCATGGTTAATTTCTTTTGTGATGCCTTCTGTGTGTCACTTCCTATTTTAATTAAGTAAAAGTGATTTTATTTTTGTGACAGAGCATAGGTTTTCCGTGGTACGTTTTCTTGTCTTATTTGTTTTCTCTTTGGTTCATTTTAGGAGAAGAAGGAATACCTCAATTGTCTTAAATCCGCTGGGCATAAATCCGAGGAGTGTAGACATCTCTCTAGAAAGTACCTGGAGTGCCGAATGGAGAAGTAAGTTCATTTGATTGGTTCGGAAAACTTGCTACACTGCTTAAGTCTTAAAAGTATACTTTAGCACACAGCTTAATGTAGTCATCAAAGGTCTTTACTTGCTTTGGTCGCTGCACTACAAAATGTTCCAGTTTGTATAAATTCTATATAGCAAGTTTATAAATTCATCTTCTATATTCACAAATATGTGCAAATTATGCCTCGTAATGTATCTGAAAGAGTGCTTCCCCTAAATTTTGTCCACTGGAGGAAAAGGTGAAAAATTTCCTAACGTAAAACATGATCAATTATATGAGGTGGTTATGTCTCAACAGTCAATTGATATGGTTATGCTCCTAGCAGAGGATGATGACAGCATTAGTTGGAATCAGGCTCTTGTTTCTCTCTCATATTACTTCATAGTGCAACTTCAATTTTTTTCTATCAGACTTTACCAGGAAAAAATCTTCCATTTGGTGTTTTTTTTATCAGTTATGCGATGCATATCTTCATAAGAGATGAAAAATGCAATATTGGTGCTCGTTGATTTTGAATTTGTTGCAAGTCATCTGCTGTATGTGAGAGTTTAATTTGGACCTTTTGCACTTTACATAAGTAGCAGTATTCTGAATATTGTTTTCATTGTATTCCAGCAGTATCTGCGCAATTTGAAGGGAAGAATTCCTCCTTAAACTATAGGAATATAGAAAGAGTTCTAGGATAATTCCCCATATAGTTGAAGAGAAGATCTCAGGAAGTACAAACCTTGATATTCTGAACACGCCAAAGTCTGAAATACCTTCTCTTTTTCCTTTGAAACAACACGAGGCTTTGCTACAACATTTAAACACACATTGATGGTTTTTAGTGAGATGGTTTGACTAAAATGTGCTGTTTTTAGGTCTTTTCTGTTATGTAATCTATCTCTATGTTAATAAACAACAATTGTTCGTCATAGTATAGGAATTTAGACAGCAAACAAATGATTGTTTCATTAGCGCAATTGCAGGAATTTGATGGCAAAGCAAGACATGTCAGAACTTGGCTTTGGCAAAAATGTTGATGCTGGAACTAAATCAGAGGAAAAGACAGAACAGACGAAAGAGAAATGAAGAGTGAATTACTTGCTGTGTACTTCTGAATAGTCTGGCTGCGAAACTCCAGGCCGACAATAGTCGTATCTCCACAATTTCTGTCAGTTCTATGTGGAGGTGCATATTTTTCCTCTCAACCTTTTGTAACGTTTTTATTTCTTTCTTCTCCTGGATCCTCTCTGAGCTGTAGTAAAAAAAATGTATAGCGAGAGGGGAGAGAACACGAAAGGAAACTGAGTTTACAATGTTATAAATGAGAGAATAATCTTGTTTGGAAATTGATATAATTCAGAGCAATGTGTAGATGCCATAATTTTCCTTTTACACAAATTAGAGAAAATGAATGCAATTTACTGTAGATATGACTGCTTAATCACCCTTCAGAGAATGTCAATCTTTATAATAAGTTTGCTATTTGTAACAGTAGGTATTGGTGACGAAAAGTAAAAATCAGTTTGGTGTAATTTTGAATTTCTTTTCAAGTTAGTTGAAAAGACTGGATATAGAGATAGAGACGCGTTGTCGGTATAAGACCAAATTCCGCGCCTTTTAGATTTGTATTTCAAAAACATTATGATACTTGATTGTGACTGATGTTATGGAATTCGCATATTAACGTTATGATAGAGCTAACATCTTCTGAATTATTTTATTTTGTATGGAAAGTTAATTTGCACAAATTAAATTGTGACCGAATCTTTACACAATTTACACAATGCTTACTTTTTGTCCTTCCTCTTAAGTTAGAAGAGTTAGGAACAACAAAACTCATATTTTCATCTTTTTCACATTCTCTACTACTCAAAGTTTCTCTTATAAAATTCACATATTAACTTTTTCACATTCTTCTGAATGGTTTTATTTCATATGAAGAGTAGATTTGTGCAAATTAAATTGTGACCTCATCTTTTAGTTAATGTTGACACAATACTAGTTTCTTTTTTTCCTTCCTCTTAATTTAAAAGGGTTGGGAACAACACAACTCATATTTTTAATCTTTTCCATCTTTTCTACTGCTCAAAGCTTCTCTAATAGAATTCGCATATTAACTTTATAATAGAGCTAATATCTTCTAAATGATTTTATTTCATATGGAGAGTAGATTTGTGCAAATTAAATTGTGAAGTCATCTTTTAGTTAATGCTGACACGGTGCTAGTTACTTTTTTTGTCATTCCTCTCAAGTTAAAAGGGTTGGGAACAACATAACTCATATTTTTAATCTTTTCCACCTTTTCTACTACTCAAAGTTTCTCTAATAGAATTCGCATATTAACTTTATAATAGAATTAACATCTTCTACAGGATTTTTTTATTTCATATGGAGAGTGGATTTGTGCAAATTAAATTGTGACCTCATCTTTTAGTTAATGCTGACACAATGCTAGTTACTTTTTTGTCCTTCCTCTTGAGTTAAAAGGGCTGCAAACAACAAAGCTCATAATTTTCATTTTTTCCCACCTTTTCTACTACTCAAAATTTCTCTTATGGAATTCCCATATTACCTTTATACTAGAACTAACATCTTCAGAGTGATTTTATTTCATATGGAGAGTAGATTTGTGCAAATTAAATTGTGACTTCATCAATTAGTTAATGCTGACACAATGCAAAATTACTTGTTTGTCCTTCCTCTTAAATTAAAAGATTTGGAGATAACAAAGCTCATATTTTTCATCTTTTCCACCTTTTCTACTACTCAAAGTTTCTCTGATTAATTACTCCCTCCATTTTAATTTGTTTATCTTATTTGACTATTGAATTTTATGATTTTAAATTAAAGTTCAGAGGAGAAGAAGGCTAAATCACAATCAATTTGTCAGTGACTTCCCCTCTAAAGTCTAAACATAATGGTCCTCTTCTAATTTACCATGAACACGCCTGATTTTTCAAATAGCCTTTTTCTTTGGTTATTGCCCTCTAAATTTATTTGTAGGTAAGTTTAATTTTTAGACCTTAATTTAAAAGTTTATTGAATTTGTGTGATACCTTCAGGACAAACTTTTGAACATATAGGCCGTGACGAAGTCACCTTAAGCCAAGTAGGATTGAAAAAAATATTCGGAGTATTAAATACAATAAGTTTGAAAAAACAAACAAACTATATATTGTGCAATTTTTTTAATTCAAAACTAGTCAAACACATCGTTTGTTGAATAACGGCAAGGGGATGTATCATGTATAGACCTAATTTTGTGAACCTCAATGTTAAGAAAATTATGATCGCAAGGAATCAAACTCTAATCTTTTTACAATCGACAAAAACACTATGCTAAAGTTCGTTTTGGTATCTCAAAATTAAAAGAGACTTATTTAAAAGTATCTTGACGAGATTATTATGAATACAAGTTAGAAAAAAGAAAGAAAATTCATTGGAAAGGATATATAGAGAAATTGTGTTTTAGTACCAATGTATTTGAATTGAGATACTTTTGGAAACCGTCTCTCTCAGAGCTGTTCTCAACAGTTTGTGTAGCCATTATTCTATTGTACTAGTAAAATTATTCGCGCTTCGCGCGGGAATTTAATATCATGAAATTTATAAAATAATACTTAAAACCTATCAGTTATTAAAAGTAAAACACTATATTATCTTACATACAAGATTACCTAATAACAAACATTAATAATGTAAAGGAAAATGAAAATTATTACATCTTATCATTTATTCTTAATAACATAAGCATAAATCAATGACTGTAAAAATACATACCAGGATATGTAACATAAGCAAAGGTGTCAGTGAGCCACTCAATAGGAGCAAAGTACACAAATATTTAATTGAGAAGAAGAAGAAGAGGTTTAGAATTTTCGTTGTTTTAAAATGAGAGGAAACCCCTCTATTTATAGACAACAACGTGTAGTGTGAACAAATGTTTATAAAAGTCACAATTCTTTATTAAAGTTGCAACCCTTCAAAAAGGTCACAACCTTTCATAAAAGTCACAATTTTTTATAAAAGTCGCAATACTTTATTAAAGTTGCAACTCTTCATTAAAGTCACAACTTTTCATAAAAGTCGCAACTTTTCATAAATTTCACAATTTTTCATGAAAGAGGAAGGCTAGTTTTATAAATAAATAAATTAAAAATGAATTCTAGTTTGTGGTGGTGCCACATAGACGGGACTAAGGTTCTCTTTTATATATATATATATATGATATGATTCATTGAGATATGTTGATTTTGTATTCCATTCCATTGTAAATGAATGATCCTATGTAGATCTATCGGAGACATGAAATTATATAAATATAATAAAAATGGAAACAACAACCCTAGTCGCCATTTTTATACAACTCTACCTTGGTGATTAAATTCCACTTTAGTTACTGTGAAATGAACGTACTCTAGGAGGTTTTGTTGTTATTGTCTATTCTATAGCCGATTATCTCGAATGTTATCATTTTAATATGTAGATCAAATAATGCAATGCAAGCAAAAATTATATAGGACAACATAAAGTGTCTTCACAAATCACAAGGCAGAGATATGGTCTGCACACACCCTATTCTTCTTAAATCTACTTGTAGGATTATATTGTGTATGTTGTTATTGTTGTGTTTTCAATACCAAAAAAGAACATTTTGATGCATTCCACATATTTTTAGCTTATGACTATAAGATTCACTAGTTTTCTTCACTTTTTAAAATTACATATCAAGTCAAAATCAAACAAATAAATTGAAACGAAGATAGTATGTATATTTTTTTGGAAAAAAATGAAACAAGACATAAAGGGTGACCTAGAAAAAGGGATATCTAATTAAATTTTGTGGCATGGAACATTCCACTAACTAAATCCATCTATTAAAAGTGCATCTAAACGGGTCCATCCAAAAGTTGGACACACTCACCGGCCATTTTGATTTTAATTACTTCCAACCACGATATTCGCACGTTCAATTATTCAAAATCCACCGTTGATCTTATACACGTGTCACCATCTAATCACCACTCCAAACATGTACGAAAATTTGAATACAAGTCAAAGGCGGGTTCAGAATTAGTCAAAATTTAACCCATAATTAATTAAACTTAATCACATATATTAATAAATAAACAATGTTTGGCCAGTGAATGCATAAAACGACGCCCCACCATGTGAGCCTGTTTTGCTATCTTCAAATTCAAAAAATTAGTGGGCCCCACCAAAACCCCTCACACGTGCCAAATTCAAAAATGGTATTTTGAACATTTCTAATAATCGTGTCCGTTCTGGTTGGTTAAAAATAAATAAATATTTTTCTGTATTCACTTCTCATCCGCTCTTCGTCTTCGTTCTCTCCTTTTATCGCACTGAAAATACCTTCAGATTTACTTTTTACTGTTTGTGACGGTGAAATGAATCAGAACCGTTAAACTTTATAGATGCTTTTGAAAGCCCACCGAGTCTTCCATTTCATCTTCATCTTCTATTTCTCTCTTTCTGATACCCACTGGGCACTGTGAAACTAATCTGTTCATCGAATCGTTGATTTATAGAGACGGAGAGAGAGGTTTCAGCTGATTGATTGTGCTTTGGAGGTGTGGAAATTTGTTGTTTGTGGAAGAAGAGGAGATTGGATTTATTCGGAGATTGAAGTAGTGAAAAAACATGAATGCAGTTGGAAGGCAAAGATCTGGAACATCGACGGCGCATCACCAGAGGCAATACTCTGATAACTTCCTGGAGACTTCATCTAATGGAAGATGGCTTCAATCAGCTGGTCTTCAACATCTTCAAACTTCAAATAATAATGTTCCTCAGGCTCCACAGGTTTTGGATTTTCTCTACTTTTTTTTTTGTTTTACTGAGCTTACTGTTACCCTAGCTCATAGATCTGATTGTACAGTGGTTTTGTTCATTGTGTTTATTTGATTTTGATGTCGGTGAAGGGACAGGAATATGGATACTATGGTGGAGCTCAAGGGTCGAGAATGCTTAGAGGTGCACAGAGGACATATAGTGGAGGAAGCGATCTCTTTGCGGAGCCTTTGACGCCGCCGGGAAATCATCGACAGTCAAGCCAGAGAAGGAATGGTGACGAAGAAGTCTATCCCAATGAGTTCAGTCCTGGACTCTTAGATCTACACTCATTGGATACTGAGCTTTTACCAGAGGTTTGGTTTCTCATCTGGACAAATTCTGCGTTCGTATTTTTAAGGGGATTGGATAATCTAATTATTTTAGTTATGCGATTGGACATCACCCTTGTTATGTCAGTGCAAGATGTGCAATTACTTCCTAAAGTTTTGCTGCTTTAGTAAGTTTTTATATGATATTCATTGGATTAGAGCTTCTCATT